CAGGAGAAGGGACAGTGTGATGAGATCTGAGAGGGACTGGCAGATTTGGCCACTGGTGGCTCCCTGGTGACTTGTCTGAGAGTGACTGCAACTCGGGAGACTAGAGCAGAGTACAAGGTCAAGCGAGGCAGGGAACAGGAGAGGGTAGTGGTTGTGGCTTCCTCTGTCACCTTCAGCTGCTGCTTCTTAGAGTCTTTACAAGACTTTTTCTCTGCCGCCCCAGTAAATGTTAATGTTACCTAGGACTCTATCCTTGGCTCGGTGGCTCTCTGATCCTAACAGTGAGGGTTCTCTCAGTTTCAAATAACAGAAAGTGACTCCAGCTGGCTTGAGCAGAAAGATTTATTGGATGGATACAGAGTTACCTCATAGGACCCAAAGGGCCATGTCTGGGCTTTGCACACAAGCTTTAACCAGAAACCGAGCATTGCAGTGCTTCTCTGGCTCCTTTCTTGTTTCCTTCTTGGTGTCCATTTTCTTCCTCTGCTCTCATTGCAAATCAGCTGCCTTGGTTGGTCTGCTCTGTCTTGCTCTCTCCCAATCTGCATGCTCTCCTAGGGCACAGGCTGGGCGGAGCAGTTTCAATTGATCCCATCCTTGGGCTACGCAAGGTCACACTGCTCAGGCAGTAGCATGTGCACTGGGGACTAGAATAGGGACTGTGACCTGGAACAAGAAGCTGGGGAAAAGCTTATAGGATGATGTGAGGGACTGGGCCTAGGGCAAGTATGATAGGAGGGGAAGGCGACAAAAGCAGCTTCTCTTTACTTCTCTTTGTGTCTTTGCTCTGACAGCTTGAATTCTCCTAAGCAGCAAATCCTAGGAGTGCTCTCCTTTCTAGATGGAGTCCTAGGCATAGTGCTTTCCTCTAGAAAAGAGAGTGGCTGCCCCAGTCTTGTTAAGTTCCCTTCTCTACAACCATCCCTGAGTACACATGGGCGAGTGGCAGTGGCCAAGTCCATACCCCCTGGCTGAACCACAGTCGACTGAACCAGGGGCCCAGCCAGAGCCTCTCTCTGGAGCCTCCGGGCTTTGGAATTGGACAGTTCAATGGGTCAATTCCTTTTAAAGGGAATGAGGCCATTGGTGTTGGGTCTGGTTATCCTGAAATCTCAGGCACACCTCTGCCTTCCTGTTAGTTTCCAGAAGCTAGCCCAGTGTCTTCTAGCAAATTCTCTTGCAGTCTAAGCTAGGTGGGGTAGTCACTGAAGCCAGAAAGGGTCTTCATTATCCAGAGTCTAAAGAGTTTCCCTATAGCTGTTCCCTACCTCGCCTCTTGCCTCCCACATCCACTGCAGGAGGTCGCCTCTTCCTTTCCTTGGTCATGTTTCCTGGAAGAAATGAGGTCCAAACAGTGACTGAGATATGAGGATTTGGGATTCTGGCAATTACTGAAATAATAGCACTTTGTTAGTATATGGAAAATTTTGATATTTTGAAAAATCTAAAATCTGAATCATTTATCTTTTGAGATTAGGGTCAATGACTCAAATATTCAATTTATGATGAAAATACTTGCTGGACAAAATTCTACCCAAAGTCAGAAAGGGCTTTTCATCAACTGGAACAATTTGTACAAAAACACACGTTACTCAATGATACCACTGATCCATTTAGTTTTTGAAATAATATTTCATTTGCACTTAATGATTTTCAATGTTTCTTCATTTTAGGTAAAGTTTAGTTTATTAATTTCTGAATTTGTTTTTAACAAACTAAATTTTTAAATAATTTTAGATTTTCAGAAAAATTATGAAAATAGTACAGAGTTTCTATATTATTCCTCTCACCCAGTTTTCCTCATTATCAACATTTTTTAAGAATTTGGTACATTTGTTACAATTAATAAACCAATACAGATACATTATCAGTAGCTAAAGTCCATATTTGACTTTTTTTTTAACCTAAAGTCTTTTTTCTATTCCAGAACCCACCTACGACACCAGATACATTTACCTGCCATGTCTCTTTAGATTCCTCTGGTTTATCACAGTTTACAACTTTATTTTTATTAAGCTTATAAGCTAATAATTTGTATGAGAATGAAGCTTGCTAAATGTTTCCGTTCTACATATTTACATTTTTACTTGGCCTTTAAATGTTTAATACTTTTAAGATACGAATTAAATATTGTTTTACTCCTGTTAATATTATGAATTCTCAACACCTACACAGAAAGTCAAATTGATACCAGTATTTTGGAATTATTTTAAATGAATGCTGAATGTCCAGTGTTGCAGATTTTGCTCTAGTACAGCAGTCAGTGGAGCCAGGGAGACAGGTAGAACATGGAGACCAGGATCCAGATCCACCAACAGTTATGGCTCTGGGTGCAGGGCAGGACAACCCAGAACCAGCAGTGTGCAGCGGAGGGCAGATGGGCAGGCCTGGGTTTGCTTCCCTGCACAGGAAGCCCAGGCCCAGGCCACTTAATAGGGTCCTGCAAACATCTTTTGCTCCTAGGGCCTCCATTGGCTCTGTTCTTTCTCTGTGTAATGTGCGACAGGGCTGCCTTGTGTTAGCTCAATCTGATTTCTCTGTCTTGCACAACCAATGCCTTGGGGACACTGCACTGAAGACGTGGACTCTGGGTACTTTATCTCAGAAAGTCTTACGTTCTTGTTTTCCCAATGCCTTTCTCATTGCTTAGAACCTACTTTAGTAAGCATGTAGTACACATGGGTATCTGTTCAACCAATGTGGGATGAATGAAGGGAGCTGGGAGACGCCAGTACCCACAACCTCTAGGATTGTGAGACCAAGTATATTATCAGCATCCCAAAACTACAACTAAGAGTTAAATCACAAATATGCAGTATCACATCATTATGAGAGAGGTATGTTTGATCTTTAATTATATTTACAATCTATAGAGTTACCAAAAAGTAGGTCACAACAGTTAGGCTTCATTTTGTCCATGCTTCATGGCATATTCAAAGTCTCTAAAGCTGACGTGACCATCAGAGTCCCGATCTACTTCCCTGAAAAATAAAACAAAAAGCTCTTTACACATTCTTCTCATCAGCATCTACATATCAAGAGAACATTAGTATCTTTCTTTCTTTGCACATCTTATCTGCTTGAAGACAAAGACTGATGTCTATATTTTCTATTTCTACATTGATGATACTAAAGTGGGAAGGAAAGAAAGAATATTTATTAAACGCCACAGAAATAATACATTCAACCCACTTACATAAACCCAAATGCTTAGATTATACAAGAAAAGGAGGAGTGACTGTTTTTCTAGTTGTCCTTTTTGTAATCTCCAAAAATATACATGCATTGCATATGGAAATGTGAGATAAATAGCAGATAATGAAAGCACTTTGGGAACAAATGACGACAAGAACGGAGTGCATAGGTGTATTTCACAGAAAGAGACACGGAGCCTTCAGGAACCTCACAGTTTTCGCACAGTCAGGCTTCTAGTAGGCAGCAGAGCTGAACTCAAACCAGGGTAGCTAAGCTGTCAACCCAGGGCTCCATTGCTATCGCACACCACCTTGCTACGTAGCTAGGACACTGCAGGGAGAGGGATTTGCTGCTGTCCCCACATGACTAACTCCAGCCCAGAAGTTTTCACGGGCTTCATTCATGGCCTCGAAAACTCTGTTAAAGCCTCACAAACACCTGCCAGGCTTTCCTGACTCCTGGGAAGAGTGGTGAAGATGTGGACCGCTGGCTGGTTGTTGTTGTTGGTGGTGGTGGTAGTGGGGTGGCCTCAGCATGGCTGTCCCTGAGTGTCTTTAGAACCACTGAGACAGGGACATCACTTTCTGAACAGACTGCAGACAATGGCACCCATCCCACAGGGTTAAGGTAACATTTCAGCACAAAATCCCACCATAAGCAGCACGTCAGAATCATTACTAGTAAAAGAAGTGTTCATTAAAGAGTGTTTGAAAGGATAACTGATGAGCAGTGGACCTAATTCATCTTTGGGGGCCCTGCTAAAACAATGCATAACGTGCTTTCCACATGGCTTCTGTGGGTGAAAATTCAGCAAATGGTATCAACCAGGACACAAGGCCTTTTAAACCAAAACTGGCCCAAGCAAGAGAGCCACTAATCACTGTAATAGTTTTAAAGCAGGCTTTTAAAATATTGAACTCTAAAATAAACTTTCTGAATATTTCATGCCAAAGTCTCTGAAGTCTATAATGGTTCTGGATAGAGTGATGATAATTTTTCATTCTTTTGAAGTAGAGAAAAATCCCTACTTCTCTCCCCCAGGGCAAAGCCATGTTGCAGTATGTTAGTATAAAATGATTGCAGACTGCAGAGGCCATTATTCTTGTTCCTTCTTTTGGAGAAATATACATGACGATTTCATGCTATACAGTACCAAAAGCATAATGTCAGATCTCTTCTAAGGGATTAGAAATAATCAGTATCACATGTTACTGACTACAGAATATAAATCATCCCTTTTATAAAATTAGATAATTGAAGATTCTTAATATCACCTAAGTACTTCTTCCCAAGGAATTGGACTAGATAAATAGCCTTTCTTCTTTCCACTCTGAATGGGTATGGCTGAACTATAAATCTCTGAGGGTGAGCAAAGTGAATAACTTAGAAAAGTAATGTTTAGAATACACTTGTTTCTGATAATATCTTTGTGTATATTTTTATTCACTTATGGAGATAATGGATGTTTGTACAGAAGGGAATCCCTTTGCGTGTTTTTCTCAGTAAACCTTCCTTGTCACTGCACTGGCTTCTAATTTTTCTTGCTGTCTTTGCCAAAGCTTCCCATCACAAGAAGGCATAGTAATGGGCCAAGTCCACTCACATGGTGTGAGTGGCATTTTATTCACATAATGAATGGAGGGGTGCTCTGTGTACATGCAGAACGGAATATGGTAAAATATTTCATCCCTTCTGACTTTTCTTCACATATATGAGCAGATCTGGTCAAGGTGACTAGAAGGAACAGGAAATTCATGCTCTGGGTTATAACTTTAAAGACTAAAATGTATGGTATTTCATTACAGACGGAATTATTCTGAAGCAGGAAGACTTCACAGCACCCACACTCAAATCGCTGTGTGAGGGAAGAACAGGTGTGGCTGGTGGGTAGAACTGGTGATGTGCTGACGAGAGGACGAGTCATTAGGCAAAAAGGAAGAAGTGTCATTTTGCTGTTTACAGCATTCAGTCTCAGTTCTGAACCAGAATGTGTTGTTTTGCTGCCACCAAAGTATACTCAGCACTGAAATATCCTGCCACCCCTCATCCCAGTGAGAAATAAGCCTCTTAACCCACGGCAGGCAATGGAATTGTGTTGAATGACTGAACTTATGGGTGTTAACCCAGGGAAACAGTTGACACTTTTATGGAAAATGTACCTCCCCCGAGTACTGAGGATTAAAGAAAGAGACTACATCATCACTATCCTCAGTGTCTAAACAAGAATCAGAGAAACAAAACATAGAGAAGGAGCCATCTCAGGACCACATTCTGGAGCCCATGAGTAAGTCAGCTATGGTCTCCATCTTAGACCACATTCGGCAGGTACAAGAGACAGGTGTGGGAAAATCAGGCTGCAGAAGTGGGCAATGGGAGGAAGAGACCCTTTGAATATCAGGTTGAAGAGTTTAGAGCTAAAAGGTAGAAAAATGAACCAAAGCTGAACACTGGATTTCCATGAGTCTAGCTCGTCCTGTAGTTGAGGACCAAACACTTCATCCAGTTAAGTAGCTGATCCTTGACTAGACACAGGAGATAGATGCAGACATGTATTCAGGCTCAGGCTACAGAAATGGTTTCTCGAAGGAATGAAAGCTTATTCAGATGTATGAGAGGAAATAAGTTGCTATTCACAATAAAAACTGCTTTCTAAAAGTAGGTCTAGTTCAATGGAAGGTGTGCCCCCACGTGTGCATGTGTACATGTGTGTGTGTGTGTGTGTGTGTGTGTGTGGTGTAATGGGAATTGAATCCAGGGGTTCTGTACCACTGAGCTACATCCTCAGCCCTTTTTATTATTTGAGGCAGGACCTTGCTAGGTTCCTCAGCTGGCCTTGAACTTGTGATCCTCCTGCCTCAACCTCCCAAGCAACACCACCGTGCCTAGCTTGGTTTGTTTGTATCTGAGATGCAAAAGAGAGAAGTGGAAGTGATTTTGGACCTAGGGAGTCCAGAGAGCTGACCTTCTCTGTATAACTTAGTATGAACAATTGGGGGTCTTCAAAGAGGAAAGAGATGAGAAGGTAAGAGAGGCACAGAAAGAGTGGGATGGTGAACAACAACGCCCATGCAGTGGTGCAGTGATCCACAGCCCTCTGATTAATGCTATACTTGCTAGGTGTGCGAAGTTGTCTGTGTTGCTTATTATACCTTTTCCCCTATCTTCACCTGAAGGGTGTGACAGACAAACACTATGGGGAGATGGTGACACTGGGGTGTCTGGGTTGATTCAGGAGCTGATTACTGAGTTAGGAAATGAGTGCTCCAGGAAGGCACAGTGGAGAGCAAGAAAAGCAAACAAAAGTGGTAAAATGATCCATCAACTGCATTAGTTCACAGAAGTGAGAGCTCAAACCATGAGCCCACTTGAAATTTCCAAGAATCTTAGTAAATGCCTTTTATCCTTCAAGGTGTGGACTGAGGGTTCCCGGCAGTACTATTTGGACTTTGAAGGCCCGGAAGACCTCAGTTAAAATGAGGTACATTAAGAATTTCAGGCAGGACTAGACAGTTCATTCAGCTGAATTTCAACAGGTTTCACATACATATGTTAAAATACAAAAGGAGGCAGGAATTTAGCTCAGTGGTTTCGTTGCCTGCCCCACAAGCACAAGGTCCCGAGTTCGATCCCCGGTACCAAAAAACAAACAAACAAAAAACCCCAAATATTTTCTGGTTAATCATATTAAAGAGTGGTCGTAGTTACTTTCATCAGTATGAGCTTTAGGATTTTTCCTCCTGCATCCTTTTAAAAAATTATTTTTATTGGTGCATATCTGCAGTACATGATGATTATATTCATCATGGAGAGTTAGTATATGTACATAACACATCTTAATTGTTTTTTCATTCCCTCTGCCTCCCTTCCTTCCCATCCTCCATCTTCTGCATCCTGATTTTGTTGAGTAAGATTGTTCTTTCATTTTGGTGATGATGTGTAGGCTTTGACAGCTCAGACCAGTTGCTTTCTGGACAAGAAGCTACAAGGTCTGACCACACTGGAGTGGGAGTTTTGCACTGTGAGCTCTCATGGAGGTAGACCGTGGTACTGTTCCACTACATTCTGGGGGAAAGCACAGATTTAGAAAAAAAATATGCAAATAGTGAGTGCTTCTGCAAAGTAGTAACTGTTCCTTGTAGGCAAATATTTACATTGGAGCAATTTCTAAAATATTCGGAAAGTATTTCTTCCTTGAAAACCAGTTTTTGTTGTAAAATCATTTGAGAGTAACCCTTGGCCAGGTCTCCAAAGGCAGATTTGAGACTGAACTATGGTTTTTATCCAAATTACTTTTTAAAACACGAAGGAAAGAAATAAAAAGGGAACGGTTTATAGATTTTTGTGCATTGAAACAATGGAATATTCTCTATTAAAGTGATATAAAGACTATGAAAGTGACATTTGTAAGTAGAAACAAGAATACAAGCTGTTATCTACATCATAATTGGAATCTTAAAAACATCAACATTCATTTGGGCACAAGTTGGTGGGGTTACAGGTAATTTGGTTTTAAAGTATCCTTTAATATTAAATATTTATTTCTTTTCAGTCCGAATTCCCCAAGCAAGTGGTCTTATTTCACGTTGTATAAATCCTCAACAGCTAAAGAACAGAGTTTCTCAACCTTAGCAACATTGATGTCTTGGACCAAACAATGCTCTGTCCCAGCAACAGGGGGCTATCCATGCACTGTAGGATGTTTAGCAGCATCCCTGGCCTCCACCCACTAGATGTCAGTAGAACCCTCTCCCACCCCTTACTCAGCTGTCACAGCCAAGAATGTCTCCAGAAATTGCCAGCTGTCCCCTGGGGGACCAAAACATCCTTGTTGAGAACTACTACCCTAGAGGAACCATCATTTGAAGGACTCCTTGGGGATATTCTAGCTAAATCTACACTTACTAAAACAACTGCTTTAAAGATTTTTTTAAAAAGTGATTTTCGGGGGCTGGGGATTTAGCTTAGTGGTTCCACCGCCTGCCTCAAAAGCACAAGGACCCGAGTTCGATCCCCAGTACCCAAAAAAAAAAAAGTGATTTTTGGGTCAGCTGAGGCATGCACGTTTCTCAGACGGATCATGCACATAATTGTCCTAATCCTGGCCACTAAGGTTTCGAGTAGAACTCAGAGAAGACCCCACTGGAGAGGCAAGCTCCTGTGGGGATAACAGGGCCAGCGCCTGACATATCTGTGTTCCCAGCAAACACACTGACAGACGGTAATTATTTTGAGTCACTGGGATAGTCACACAGGGTTTTGAAAGTTGACACTGTATTTGATTTACCTGAAACACGAATGAGAAATTTAATGTGGAGGCAAAGATTTAAATGAGAAAAGTTTTTTAAAATGGAATTTTTGGATTGGGGAAAAGGGAGAAAGAATCTTTTTGGTTGTATATGGAGTAATTTAAACTAAAGTCAACACTGCCATTATATTAGGGACAAAGCTGTCATATTGACTGAACAGGAGAGTAAAAATTATCCTGCAAGCAAGGAGCCCCTGCTGGGGATGAGAGGACCCGCCCGCCAATTGAAGATGCAATAATGACAGCCTCCCCCACAAGCAGTCTTCTCTTCTGAGGAACCTGCTGCTTCTCCCCGCTGGCGAGCTCGCCTCTTTGTTGATGAGAGTCCTACAGGGCTCTACAGCAATTCAGTTGGTAATGTGTTTATTAATTTTACCTTTTTAAAGACACGTGTTAAGAAAGCCACTCAGACACACAGGAAAGATTAAAGAGATATGCAGATGATTTCTGGTCTTTTCTGGGCTCCTCCACAACACTGGCAGATGCACTCCCTTTGTTGTGTAGTAGACAGCCTTTGTGCCCACCTCACACTCCCTGAATACATGTTTTTCTCCAGCTATTACTGGGAGTGCCTTGCCTCATCTGCACCCTGCATCAAACATCTGTTGCTGTTTGCCTGGGACCTTTTTGACACCCGGGTCAGGCACATGTGTGCACATGCAAGCACGGACACACATACAGATACACAACCTGAAAGTATGGAGAAAGGGGGAGTTAAGGCCCCACAGGGCAACCCTTGACCAATGAGGCAACAGGATTCAGTGGACAACTAGTCTCTCCTATCCCTCAGGAAGACAACTCTGAGGCTATTCTTTTTGATTCACTGAAGGTTCTGGTAGGATGGAGCTCAAGTTGCTCACAGCAGTAATGATACTTGATGTTGATCTTCCTTCATTTTCTATTTCACTGCAACCTATGCGCAAGTCCTCATTGCAAACCCTGTTTCTAGAAAGAACACAGGTTATGACACAATGAAAAGTTTATTTTGAAAGATGGATTTTGCACAGAACATTTAAAAGTACTACTATCAGCAGCATGTCACATTAGATTCTCATTCAGGTAAAAGGGATCTCACTACTTGAAACAGGTAAGTGTTCAGCTACTTGCAAAATGCTTCTTAGAGCAGATTAAATATTGCCTTTAAGAAGAGTGGTGAAGGTCAGGGATTTAGCTCAGTGGTCCCGCCACCAGCCTTGCAAGCGCAAGGTCCCGAGTTCGATCCCTGTACCAAAGAAAAAAAGAAGAGTGCTTAAGTTTGAACTTCCAGGCAATTGAAATACCAGAGTTAACCAGAAAAACATAGCAGCAGCCTTCTTTTACTGTCTAATGTATGAGTCTTATTTAATACTATTTAGTCTGTCGACTGTATGGTATTATTAGACTGTGAGTGTTCCTTCAGTGTGAGGGCAATGTATTCCTGAATTTAAGACCCTTATAGGATCTTTTTAGATGTGGAAAGATAGCTAAGAGCTGACAGGTGGAAGACTTATCTGATTAGTATGAACTGTCAATGACAGAGGATGTCCATACCAAGCCAAGAATAAAGAATGACATTAGCCAGGCAAAACTTTGGTCTCATTAGCACTAGGCTCACCCTCCAGACTAGGGATACAGTGGACACTGTTGGTTATGGTCCCAGCCTCCTGCTGATCCACTCTGTGCTGTACAGTAGCTGTGTGACTTGGATGGGAAAGATTCCCACCTCACGCTCCAGAAAAGGGATTTGACTGACCTAACTCAATCACTGTGATCTAACCCTCTTTACCACAATGACTGGTTCCAGAATTGATTGGCTTATGTCAATTAGTACATGGGATTATATTCCTCCCAGGCCACTACCTATTGGTAAACAGTTGATCCAAACATAACGAAGCCTAGGGATTTGGTTTGCAAGTCAAGAAAAAAAGTTTTCTCAATATGGACATCTAGGTTGGAAAGGTGAGGTCTGGTCTCACATAGCTTTTTCTAACCCCTGAAGGCATAATCGCTTCAAGAGTCCTATCGTCTACTGGGGCATTGATCCAGTAATTTGTACACATGCTTTGAAGCATTAATTATCAGCTGGAAATAGAGCTATAACATGGAAGGAAAGAGTCAGAATAGCCGAGTAAGCTGTAGTCTAATCAAAGCATGCCTGAAGCCTGTCCTATGTCAGGACTTGTAGTCACTGACCTAGTAAATTCCCTGTGTTATTTAAGGCAGTTTGAAATGGATTTCCTGCTACTTGTAAGTAAAAGCAACCTAGCATCTTACCACACCAGGTATCCTGGCTGAAATATTTTCTTGCAGTATCTGGGACTTGGGAGACAGTAGACATACAACAGATATATGGTAGTCTGCTCTTGTTCTTAGGGGTTATGTTCCATCCAGTGGATGCCCGAAACCATGAATAGTACTGAATCATATATATACTGTTTTTTCCTATACATGCATACCCATGAAAAAGTTTAATTTATAAGTGAGGAACTGCAAGAGATTAATAATACAACTAATAATAAAATTGGACTATTAAAACAATATACTCTAATAAAATTTCATGTATCATTATTCTCATATTTTGGGGCTATTAAGTAAAATAAAGGTTACTTGAACACAAACCCTGAAATACCACGAAACTAGATCTGATAACTAAGAGGGCTACTACCAGGTAACTGCTAAATACAGTGGGCATATTTTGGACCAAGGACTGACTCCCGTACCCTGCAGGACAGAGCAAGATGGCATGCTCTTGGAATGGCATGCAATTTAAATCTGATGAATTATTTATTCCTAGAATTTCTATATAATATATTTGGACTGAGGTTGAGAGGGGTAACTAAAATCAAGGAAAGTAAAACCACAGAAAAGGGGGGACCTACTGTAATGCTTGGAAATTATTCCATTTTGAAAGAAACCCTAAAACAATTTAGATTTCTCCTTAGATGCCACCTCAAGATTTGGCTTATTCTCCTCAGTTCTATATTCTAAAGAAGTCACTTGCTTACTATATTCATCAAAACTTTCTGTTTATGGTGCTTTAACTGTGATTCTTGATGTGCTAAATAGACCAATATTTTTTTCTTCCCTGGAGAGTGACAGAGTAGATTTTCCAGTTCAAGAAAAGAGGGGAAATGGATGTAAAATGCAATCACAGCTGGTAAAAGTGACTAACCATAAATAATGACTCACTTTTTCCTATCTGCCAAGTTTTAAGAATGAAGAATCTTATTTAAAGCTAGACATATTTTAAAAGGAGGAAAAAAATGTAATTTCAATGTGCCTAATTATTGACCACTTTTGGACATGTGGATAAATGCAAAGTCTCATTTCCAGCAAATAGCTTGATATTTCTCCTCTATTAAGTATTTCAGCAGAGCTGCCAATAAACAGGGATGTGATCTTGTTTCTCAGTTTGATTCTCTGGAAGAGAAATTACGATGTCAGAAAATAGCACAGATCAGACAGCTTTAAGGATAGGGAGTAAAAGTCGATGTGG